TTTCTTTTTCTCGCGGTAGTTAGCGGAAAGCAGTGACTGAGAGATTGACAGCTAATATTAACCAATACAAAATCTGCATTAAAGTTAAGAATGTAAGGATAAAATCTGTTAATATATAATTTGTAGTTGTGGTGCTCCTAAATCTTTGAAGTTGGGAGCACCAGTGCTACCAAGTAAAAAAGTTAATTTCGAGCCCTGATACAGTCTCTTCTAAAACTATTAAAAATCATTTTCTTATAAAGCTGAAATAAAATATTAATATTAAATATTAAACTGCTTGCCTTCAAACCAAACTTATGCTTTCAAAACTAGTTTTTAAGTGAAATTAAACTGAAATAAAATTAAAATGATATTAGAAAAAACTTTAGAAATGTTGCCTTGGCCACCAAGTAAAATAAAAAAATAAAATACTAAAAAATAAAAAAATAAAAGTACTAAAATTACTAAAATAAAGAATAATGACTAAAGAAAATAACTACAATTAATGAAAATGAAGCAAAACAGAAATATAAAAACTCCAAAAAACTAATAAAAATGACAAAAGCACTTAAAATTGAAATGAAGCTAAAATAAAATTGATTATAAATATTAGATGAAAAACTTAAAAACCTAAACAAAAATAAGAAATGTTGCCTTGGCAATTAAACACAATTGAAGTAACTGAAGAACTGAACTAAAATATAAATAAACCTAAATAGAAAATATAAAAAAATAATAACTAATAAAAGCTGCAAATAAATTGAAAAAGAAAAAAGCACTTGAAATAGTTTTTGTTACTTGAAATTAAGCAAAACCTAATTTAAACTTATTTAATTTTGGTTGGCAAGACAACATTGCTAACTTTCATTTAAGTTAAATTACCAAGCTTACTAAAATACTGAAATTACTAAAATAAAAAGATCTAAATGAAGAGTTCAGATGCAAAAGCCTTTAAGTGCCACTTGAAATTTTCTTCTAAAATGAGCATTTTTATCAGGCTTCTGTGTAGGTTCAGTAATTTCACTTTAATAGCCATAAATTGGTTCTTTTCTTTGCCATTAAAGTGAAATAACTGAAGATAAACATAGGAGCCTGAGAAAATGACTAATATTAGAAGAACATTTCAGACGGCACTTAAGAGGCTAATAAAAATGACAAAGGCACATAACAATGACTAAAGTGAAACTATAAACAAGCTAGTTCAAAATATTAATAGATACTAGTAAAAGTAACAAGATAACACTGCTAGCGCTTATTGTTTGACTCAAAACACTGTATTAACAGAACATCTTCAGCACGTTAAAATCCTGTAGCTTTGACTGGCTGTGTGCTGATTGGTCTCCGCAGCGCTACCCGGGTCAGGTGACTCTGAAGTCCACTCGTCTGGCGTCCTCCAGGAAGAGAGCGGGCGCCGGGCCGGAGCAGACGCAGACGCAGACGCAGGCCGCTAGCGTGCAGACGGATGACGCTCCAGCTGCGCTGGAACATTCGGCGGGAGTGCCAGAGCTCCGCCGGCCCGAGAGCTTCCTGTCGCTGCCTCCGATGGGCGGAGCCGTGGCCGAAGCCCCGCCCCCTGACGCGCATGCATCACTTCCTCCGGCCAGAGAGCTGCTGCTGCTGGACTCGTCCACCTCTCCTCCTCTTCCTCCTCCTCCTCCTCCTCCTCCTCCCTCTCTGGAGGAGACGCCTGCAGACGCCAGCCCTGTTCGCTCTCCCCTCGGGCCGTTCACCGCACGCTTCTTCGACAGCAGCCAGCTGCTCAACGCCAGGAAGAAGCTGAGGAAGACGGCCTCGCTCGAGTCCAGCCAGTGGAGGAGAGGTGAGACGCACACAGGGTTAAACGCAGCTTCCATCCAAAGTTGCGAATTTAACTAGTGTTGGGGGTAACGCATTACTAGTAACTTGTTGAGTTATGTAATCAGATTACTTATTTCAAGTAGTGCTGTCAAACGATTAATCGCATCCAAAATAAAAGTTTTTGTTTACATAATATATGTGTGTGTACTGTGTATATTTATTATGTATATATACAATACACACACATTCGCTCGCATCCAAAATAAAAGTTTTTGTTTACATAATATATGTGTGTGTACTGTGTATATTTATTATGTATATATACAATACACACACATGCATGTATATATTTAAGAAAAATATGTTACGTTTATATATTAAATATATTTATATATAATATAAATCATGTGAATATATACATGTAAATATTTCTAAATATATGCTGTATGTTTGTGTCTTTATATATACATAATGTACACAGTACACACACATATATTATGTAAACAAAAACTTTTATTTTGGATGCGATTAATCGTTTGACAGCACTAATCTCTACCATATTTATATAAACATATGAAGAAAATATATTCAATTTGTTGTTATCAACAACACGAAGTGCATTAAACATTACATTACGGTTTCCCAAACTGGGGTTTGTGATGGAAATAGGGGGTTTATGAGTTTAATGAAAAGCTAATAATTATATCATAAAAATGTTAAATTAAAACAATTTTAAAATGAATAAAATAAAACACTGACTGAAAAAAAATGATACATTTTATTTGTTTACCTGCATGTCATGTGACCATTAACCAATGCCACAGAACCATGAACATGCAAAAGTGATACTTCCATTATTAAAATATTTATTTTAAAATCTCAGGGGTACTTCAAATAAAAAATATTAGGTGAAATGATCTTACTGTAGTTCTAGACTAAATATGAATGTGTTTACTCATCTCACCTGCACACAAACACATTCAGTGTTCCTCACAATCAATAAAAACAGTCAAATGCAAACTCAGAATGTGACGCAAACCTGCAATAGTTAAATATGTTAATAATTGAATTTACATTTCCTTCAGCTTGAGGCTTATTCATTTCACTTTTGGTGTGAAAGGGCTTTTACATATGCCAAAAATATAACTTTTTTAAAATATTAAAAACATACAAGCAAGCCCAGCCCAGATGAGAAAAAGTAACACAAAAGTAACGCAACACATTACATTCCATAAAAAGTAAGTAAATCCAATTAGTTACTTTTTTAGGGAGTAACTCAATATTGTAATGCGTTACTTTTAAAAGTAACTTTCCCCAACACTGAATGTAACATGCGCAAAATTGGAATATCGCATAAAACATACAACGCAACAACTACTTAGGGGGCGCTGTTGGCCTACTTGTAATAAAAAGCAAGTAAAATACACAAATAACATTTAGATTGTGTTCCTGATTAAATAAATCAGTAATTTGTGTCCTAAAATCACAAGTACATTTTGATTCAAAGGTCAAAAGCTGTAGTTTGCATGAATAAAAATCACAAACATGACACTTGTAAATTAAATAATTGTATACACATACAGATTTATTCATTAATGTGTAGTATTTTATTTTTTCAAACTGATTATGAAAACCTAAATACAAGGAGGTCTAAAAGATTTTCAGCATTTTTTATTTATTTACAAATGTTAAATCTATAAATGAAATGTTATGGTTACCCCTGTATCTGTCTGGGAAAAAAATGCAGTGATTGATTTATAGTTATTTTCAAAGCTTTCAGTGTACTCTCATTATAAAAAAACTAGTACAAGTAAAAACAAGTACATTTTTGTTAAAAATGACCAAAATTAAAAATAATTGTATAATATGTTTATAATATCTGTACAGGAGAGACTTGGATTTGGAGAATTTACTTAATTTAAATTTTATAAGCAGGCAAGTAAATATAGCTTTAAAACATACAAGCAAATATAAAGTATTAAAGGGGGGAAAAGACAATTACAAGTGATAAACAAAAAGCACTTTCAGTATCTGAGAGTGTTGTAAGTATCCGAAAGTTTACAGACAATCATAGTTATGGGTTTTTCTTGAGATCACAGACAGTGGCAGCTTTAATAGGCTGCTTTCACACTAATGCACAGATCTGTTTCCACATGTTCCTGTTCTGAAAACATTACTCACTGTGTTTACATCTATTTCATATCAATAAAGTATTCAGCAATGCAAGTGTGTTTAACAGCAGCCGCGATGAGCTTCAGGACAAACAAACACAAAGCGCACGAGAAAGTCTGTCAGTGCGTGAGTTTGTGAATCTAATATGTACTGCATTCCAAACGGCAGAAATGAAAGCATATCTAAAGTAAAACACTGAAATAACGGAAGTCAAGCAATGCACACGTGTCTCACAGCGCATAGTCTGTGCAACGAAGCCGCCGCGATTGTCTCTAGCGCACACACCTGCCATATGCGGGAAAAACCAAGCTCAGAATCCAGTTTTTTTCCTGCACTAAGCTTGGTTTTTTCCAAAATGTGTCCAGATCTCAGATTTAAAAATAGTGGGTGCATTTTTTTTAAAGGGACAGTTAACTATCCCTTTAATGCTCGCGAATGACGTCAGTAGGCTATAATCGATTACGGTGTATTACTGCATCGATGCAACGATTAATTCCAGCACCGCTAGGAAACAGCTGCAGTCAGTGTTTCCAGTAACAGTGTGTTGTGTCCTCAGCGAGCTCGCCGATGGACGAGGTTCTGGCCAGTCTGAAGCGCGGAAGCTTCCACCTGCGGAAGGCCGAGCTGCGTGTTCTGGCACCCGATCCGGACGAGGACGACGACAACAACATCCTAGCTCAGATCCGTAAGGGAGTGCAGCTGCGTAAGGTGCGCAGACAGGAGCGCAGCTGCAGAGGAGTGACTGCGTCTGACCCGCTGACCCGCAGCATCCACGAGGCCCTGCGCCGCATCAAAGAGGCTTCACCCGAGTCTGAGTCCGAGTCTGAGGACGAGACGCCAGCCTGCACCGACTGGGAGAGCTGAAGTGTGTGTGTGTGTGTGTGAGCAAGAGTGTGTGTGTGTGTGTGTGTGTGTGTGAGCAAGAGTGTGTGTGTGTGTGTGTGTGTGTGTGAGCAAGAGTGAGCAAGAGTGTGTGTGTGTGTGTGAGCAAGAGTGTGTGTGTGTGAGTGTGTGTGTGTGTTTACCTCACAGCAGATCACTGATCATCAGCCCGGAGCGTTTATTCCACTTACTACTCATTCATCTACTTTTATTCTATTCTTTGTCTTGACGTATGAAAGCCGGAGGAGATACGAGATGTGTTTCCATGTTCTCCTGATCACCTTCTGATGCAAACCAACCAGCTCTGAAATTAATCACGCCTATGTCAAAAAACATTCTTATTAAATAAAAAAAAAACTGAAACAAAATATAAATACTGCATAAAAAAAGCTTGTTGCCTTGGCAATTAATTGGAAAACACTATTATTAAGCGGAAATAAATAAGTCTAAACAAATTAAATCTACATAATAATATTAAAAGAACAAAATTTAATAAAGCAAAATTGCTAAAATTAAGCTAAAAAATTATTATTTTAAAAATTACAAAAATTAATATAAAAATAAAAAATACATATACACACACTAGGGATGTAACGATATTATCAATATCACGATGGCAAAACTGTCTCGGTATTATCGTGGTCATATGACGATATGAAACGATAGGTCTTCCGGGCAAAAAGTGTAGTTTTTCAAATATATATTTAAACTTCGTATTCTAACATAAAAGGTGTTTAAAGTTGTGTTTTGGGGCATTATGCTTTGGCACAGTATCTGTCAAACGAACTCAAACCGAAAGCACAATATGCTTCATCAAGTCTGTTTTTGCTGCTTGTTTCAAAGCGAAGCGCACACTTGGTTCAGACGATCAGCTCGTGATCCGGTGTTTTCTGCGTCTCAGAACGACTCGTTCACACTGAATGAATGCAGTCCACTCGTTTATCACACGTTCTGTGAGTTTAGCACACGTTTGGGAACACAGCTTTATTTTCACGGCAGATGATTACAGCGTTTCACTAGATTTGTAGTGACACTGTTTTTGTTTTTGTTAGCCTGTTTTCACTGAAGCTGGAGCTTTGCTTCAAAATAAAAGCGTAAAAGTGACGTATGAATTGCTGACAGCGGTTTAAATGCAGTCTAAATTCAAAATATCTCTTTCAAGTGTAGAAATTAGGAAAGAAATATTGTACTTTCCCTGCTGTAGTGTAAAGCAAACATAATATATATTCATTTTCTTCATTTTCATTTATTTAACAGTGCAGTTGTTTTACAATATATGACTACTGCTGTTATTATTATTATTATTATTATTATATTCTAATTTGTTTGGCTTCCTAAAACACCAGTGTGAATGTAATTTAGACTGAGACAGAATAACACAAAAAAAGAGGGTTGAGTTTAACTTTAAAATGTACAAGATTTTCATTTGTTTCCAGTTGTTCATTTTTAAATATCGCTATAAATATCGTATCGTGGACTACATACCGCGATATCGTATCGTTACATCCCTAACACACACACAAATATATATTCTAAGATAATTTTGCTGACGTTCTAATTAAATTACGAAAATATTATTTCTGAATGTTCAAAACATCCAGGTTTATTACTTGCACATTTAGTAATGTTCTCAAATGAAATTTTCTCGTTTGTATGAACATTAAGGGAACATTCCATTTTATCATTTTGCAAACGTTACAGGAACGTTACGTTTTAACGTTCTCTGAAACGGTAACCTTTAAGGGGAACGTTCCTTGAACGATGTATAAATAATGTTTTGAGAAAGACCAGAACTGAAGAAACATTCTAACATCGCCGGAACGTTGGAATAACGTTAAAATAACACCGAATCGCTTCGGCACTCGTCCCATGATGCATCAGCAGAGACAATCATTGAAATCCGGTCGCTTGGTGTTTGGACAAGCATGTTTCAGGAGCTCATGGTTTGATCTGAATGAACTCGTGAGTCGTTTGCTTCGTTGTGTTTGTGACTCTGTGGACGTCTGAACCATCGACAGGCCTGCAGTCTCAGATCTGACCGTCACGCGAGCCGCGGTTACCCATGATGCCGTGCGGCGCGCGTCTGTGTGTGTTTTCATCACGTGTACTGTATTTAGCTTTTGATATTATTTGTTTGAATCATATTCATTGTTCTGTACGTTCTATGCATTTTTACGTCGTCAATCAAACCCGATTCCCGTCGAAACACTACAGTCGTGAGCGACAGCGAGACGTGAAAATCAGCCTCCACACGTGCAATATTATATTAGAAACTGAAAACAGACTGTCTGATGTATAATAAAGCGCATGTTTGCCCACAGGACACTTGTATTTATTGAGTTCAACTAAATATTTAAATACGTAAAGCAATATCATGAAATGTACAATGATTTTTTTTTAATCTCCAGTTTGCTTTTACTCTGCTTTTCCAAACATTGTACTCCTAATAGTTATTTTGAATATGCATTTTGCCACTTTACGTAAATAAAGTTTCAAAAGAAACCCCTGCTCTGGTGCTTTATTGTGTGGATGTTACCGTCTTCATCATCATCATCATCAGATTGAGCTGCACTGACTCTGTCTGACCACTGGGTGGCATCAGCTGACTATCATCATCATGACAGCAGCTGGAGGCGGGGCTACAGGCATCAGTGGGCGTGTCGGATCCTACATGCAGATGACATCACAATCAGCTCCTCATGAATATTCATCTGCTGTTAAAACATTTCCATCAGATATTATTCTGGAAAGCGATATTAAACCACATATGTGACCATTTCTGAGGTTCTGATAAAAAGCATCACTAAGAAAGTAGTGAAATGTTACTTGAAAAGCAAAATGTCACATTATGAAAAAAATTCAAATATAACATTTCAAGGCGATTTAAAATGTTTATCATTTCTATTGGATATTATTTACACTGTCACAAAAGTTTTAGTCTTTGTTTACTAGCTACCTTGCAAAAAATATATATTCTCTTAGTATTTTTGTCTTGTATAAACAAATATCTAAACATTTTAAAATCAAGATACCTTTACAAAATGACACATTAAGTCTTGTTTTCTGAAGGGGAAAAAATTAAATGTTAATAAAAATAAAAAATCTGCAACTGGGGTCAGAAAAACAAAATTCAAAGGCAAAACAATTTTTTCTTACCGCATTTTTATTAAGTTATTTTGCTTCTCCAGTAAACGTATCTCGATCTATGAATGTTGAGATATTTTTTACTGTAAAAAAAGAGACAAAAACAAACATTTTAAAATCAAGATACCTTTACAAAATGACACATTAAGTCTTGTTTTCTGAAGGGGAAAAAATTAAATGTTAATAAAAATAAAAAATCTGCAACTGGGGTCAGAAAAACAAAATTCAAAGGCAAAACAATTTTTTCTTACCGCATTTTTATTAAGTTATTTTGCTTCTCCAGTAAACGTATCTCGATCTATGAATGTTGAGATTTTTTACTGTAAGAAAAGAGACAAAAATATACTTTTTTGCAGTATTTCTCATACAGAGATGCAGCTGACTCTGTGGGACTTTCTTCCTTCTGTTGAACACAAAAGCAGAAGTTCAGCCGAATGTTCAAGCTGCTCTTATACAAACCTCACCGTAACGGTTTCATTACCGGCATCCGTGTGATCGGAGCTCTTTATCCAGGTCTTCAGAAGTCACATGACTCATATTCCACCCAAAAACAATAAATAAACAGACGTCCAGATACAGTAACAACAGTGGCATTTACAGTACAGACATTTCACATCATCACAGACATGAGGAACCTTCCATGAAAATAATGAAGAACAATCCTGAAGCGTTTCCTATGATGTTCTTCACAGGAGTACAAACATTCACAAAGACAAAAACAACACGGTTGGTCATTTTTACTCTTTAATTTTACTATAAACTCAGAATTACAATTGTGTTTAAGTGTGTGGAATAATCAATATTCTCAATTATTATTCAAAGGTTTCATAAATCAAACATAATAATAATAATAAAGCCATCCAGTGTGTGAAAAGCGAGCCCATCGAACTGCTGCGAGCCCTTGAGGTTCAGCGTGATCACGTGATGCATCTCAGCTTCATCTGTACAAGAGAACAGCTTTCTGCTAAATTAACTCGTATTTAATGGCATGGTTTCCCTTTTAAATACTCAAAGAGTTCAAAAATATTGCCAGTTTATCTCCACATTAAAAAAACAACCATATTTCCACATTGCAAATAATAATAAAAAACAAGAGAAATGAAAACAAACATCTTTATACTTGAAATAACTACTTAATGCAGCTACTGTGATTAGCATATACAGATATAACTGTTGTTTTTTTTACAATAAATAACCAGAAATCATACAGACGGAAGTAAACCGTCGCTCTCAGAAGAAAGCGTGTGATGTGACCTCGGTGCCGTCCACTCAAAGTGTCCTCGCAGGTGCTTGTGAGACGTCAGATACCTGATTCTGTTTCTCGCTCGTATTGCTCAGAGTTCAGAGGAAGTTCAAGAGTGGAAGAGTAGCAGATAAACGCAGCTGTCGCGTCCGGATCGGATCTTCAGTTTGTGACGTTTTTATAGAAAACCTGCGTGAGCCAAACACGTGAAGAGTCAGAGAGCACACCGAGGTTTTCTGTGTAATCACACATCTCCTGGATCAGCAGTCTGTGTGTGATCCGAGACCAGAGGGAGTCAGTGTAAAACTGTGTGTGTGTG